AAAAAAAAAAAAAAAAAAAAAAAAAAAAAAAAAAAAAAAAGAGGAAAAAAGGGGCATTCCGAGAATTGAACTCGGGACCTCTCGCACCCTAAGCGAGAATCATACCACTAGACCAAATGCCCACCATCATTTGGTAGTACGTGCTGTTTGGAGAATTGAATTCATATAAGTAGTATTCTGTTCTTGTCTCCCTTTTTTTGGGTGAAATGTTTTTGTCTCCGTATTATGTTGACTAGTCGAGATACTTCGTTACACAGATAAAATATTAGATAGTCATCCGTGATTATTCAGAAAGAATATGAGAAATTATTTTTTTTCGACGTGTAGAGAGATATAATGGGTCACTAAAAAATGGAAATAAAAAACAGTTACATACACTAATATCTTTTTTTATAATAAGTATAGATAAGTGTGATATTTTATTTGTTTTATTGCAATGGTACCAGAGGCAATTAAAGTAATATGATAATGAAATGAAGCCATGTTTTCTTCCAATGAATTTGATTAAAAAAAAGGAGAAAGGGGCATTATGAGAAATGAACTCGGAGCCTCTCGAACACTAAGCGAGAATCATACCACTAGACCAAATGTCCAGCATCTATTAAATGAATTGTTATAACAATGTGAAGCATTTTCTGAATGGAATATGTGCTGCCTGTATAAAATTTACTACTGTCATCTTAAAAACGAATAATGCTTGGTTTGTGTTGGCATCAACCACAACATATTACATGTATTTGATATATCTGTGTGAGATTGACAGAACTAGATTGCGTTTGGCTGTTTGCAAAATTGATTTTGGTTAAACTTGATTTTGAAATGAAATGACATGATTAATGCTTAAAGGGAGTTAGCAGTAAAACGCTGTATAAAACTTTTGATGCAATGCAAAAGGTACTTATAGTTGTTCCAATTCGAATCAACTTTGGACTTATAACCAATTCCTCAATGTGAAACTAAACATGTGAACATTTATCTAAAATCACATTTAGTTAATATTTCAATGTGATTTTAGATGATCCAAAATGAATCCAAACGTTCACCAAGTATATGGGTGTGTAGGAAACAAGATGAGACCAGCTGTGCAGATGAGGCGATGTGTTTGGATGACATTATTCTTTAACAATTGATGTGTTGTGTTGTGAGTCCTATATTACCATATTTGGATATTTATTCAACAAGGATTTATCACAGGAGAATTTATTCATTAGCATGATCTCAAAGTTTACTAAAATAAGCTATAAAAAAAATTTATTTGGCAAAAAAATTCACTTTAAAATTCATCGAAATAAACTGAAAATAGTAAAATCATAAGCGGCTTTCATATGCCCAAATAAGCTCTTTGTAAGTTCTTCCAAGTTCCAAACATGCTAGAGATCTATCGTAATCACTATATTGTGGGTGTGCTTTATCAGTTATGCATACCGAGTGTGCTTTTTTCCACATTTTCTATCCGTGTGCTAGTGTTACTGCTATATAATATTAATTTGAAGCCATAAAGAAGAATTTATTTAAGCACATGCTACGTCTGTCTCCCCATTATGTTGATAAGTGTGCTTTATATTTTAATCTTGTGTTTTATTGCATTGGCTAGACTTCAGAGACAACTAATATGTCAATACTTAATAGTTAATAGAATAAGATACATATTTTTTTAATGAAAATGAAAGGAAAAAAAAATGGGGCATTCCGAGAATTGAACTCGGGACCTCTCGCACCCTAAGCGAGAATCATACCACTAGACCAAATGCCCACCTTGGTTTTAACAGATTTTGCTGCCTTTATAAAAATGAATAATACTTGGTTTGTCTTAGGATCTTGCACAACACGTCACATCTATATCTATGTGAGATGGCAGAATTAGTGTTGGGTGTGTGGGAAATGAGGTGAGACCAACTGCACAGATGAGGAGATATGTTCTTAAACAATTGATGTTTGTTGAGTCCTTTATTCAACAAGGATTTATCACGAGAGCTCATTCATAAACATGATCCTGAAGCTTACTAAAATTCGCCAAACAAGGTTTATTTTGTTAAATTTCACTGTAAAACTCATTGAAATAAATTAAAAGAGCCAATAGTATGGTCATAAGCTACTGTCATGTCCAAATAGGCTCTAAGTTCTCCCAAACACACTAGAGATGTTGCGTAATTACTAATTACTATACTGCGCTGTGCTTTGTTATTTACTCATTGTCCTGTTTTTGTTGCTGACTGTTTTGCTTCAATTCAATTAGGATGAGAAGGAGGTACAGAAATCTGCTTTCAAACAGTACCGTGTATTACGATCAGCTACTGATTTCAGATACGGCTACAAACTTGTTGTAATGCTCCTATACTTCTTTTATGCTATATCTCAACAAATATTTTAAATGCAATTTCAGTTTTTACATAGTTATCGATCAAAAGTTTTTACGTTGTTGAAATTTTACTTTATACAGAAGTTAGAAGACCATTCCCACATGTTATCTGTTGTTTTAACTTTTTGGTATGATAAATTTGCAGGAAAATGGCAATATAAGAGCTGCTCTTTCTACCACTGACGTTATTGAGGTAACACTCTTGACATGTTCTCTGTTACCATCATAATGTTTTTTTGAAGTTCCACGCAGAATTTTAAACCTCTCAGCATTAGAAATGTATATGTTTTACTAATACAACAAAAAAATTCTGGTTGTTTTTGCAACTTTTCAGTTTGATATATTTGCAGGAAAATAGTAACTTTCATTATCATTGGAATTTATAGATTTAGATTTTTGACTCCTATAGATTGATAATAGTCCACATTATGTATACTTTCTACTTAATTATATTATTTTTATCCAAATATTCAGGAAAACTATTTTGGATACTTTCCCACTAATATATTATGTTTTTCCAAATTGAAGCTCCCAACCGAAGATCAACTAAAAACCGTTCTTGATAAAGTGAAAGACTTTTTCGGAGACGCAAAGGAATCTTTTGGGAAGATAACATCATTGGGCACTACTGCAACGGAGGATTCAGACGAAGATACAAAAGAAAAAGCCAAGTGAGTTTTACTTTTTGCATCTTAATGCCCGAAGAAATACTCGCAATTTTGATTATATGCACTTCTATAAGCATTATTCACTTAAAATGGACAAGGTATGTAATTTTCAAAATTTCTCATGATTTGGATTATTTACGTGCCAATGTCAGGGTTAAAGGATGAAACTATAGCCGGATGATTTGCTTGAATTGTTATGAGTAGCCTGTGGTCCTATGTGCTCAGAAAGCTCAATTCTGTTTATGGATTGGTAAATGAGAAAATTCGGTGCACAACAATGCTACTCGAGGTTTTGTTCTTAGATCTGTCATCTGTAACCATCAAAATTATTTTATGTTCTGCAGAGTGAACACCTCCTTTACAATACTGATGACTCATGTATGTTACAATCCATGATGCTTTGGAATAGATAGCATGTAGGATGATCATGTAATGGCACCGTTATCAGTTCAAGAGATTCCTGGAACTGTTGTACAAATTACGGGTTATTGTAATATCTACGCATTTTATTTGACAGGAATTCACTTATTTACTCAGGATTGCATTATCAACTAGACCAATTTACACTGGAATTGTGATCCTCGAAACTCGATGCAAACCGGAATATTTATAAACTACACAATAGAATGTATGTGCTTGTTTGTTTACATGGCTATAGTATAGCCACCTGTTTATGAAAAATAAAACAAAATAAACTTTATGAGAAACTTGTACGTGTTTATTTGTAGCCATTTGGTGGATTTTCTCCAATTGCATAATTACGTTTTTTTTTTCTTCTTCCGTTTAACGCTGAATGTTTTTGAACTCAGAATACAAACCTACTCTCTAATTATACTTTATACTTGCATATAAAATAAGTTCGGCCGAAGTATAAGTAGCATTTGTTTCAAAGTATAATATTACAGTCTTGATAAACATATTCTCATAAATATTATGTCTAAATATTGTTTTCAGGAGCATTTATTTCTTGGTTGCTTAGGGTATCTTTTGGCAAGTTAGAGACTAAAAAGATTGAACTTTTAACTATATGTAATTTTTAATATATGGAAATAAAATCTAGTAATAAGAGAGTTTGCAATAAATCACAAATCTATCTTGACTAAGCATGTGAGTTAATTTTCTTTCATTCTTTAACATGTTTAAGAAATATAGTTACTTTTTAATTATATTATATTATTTTATTTTTTAAGAAGATATAACTCTTTCATTTGATCAATTTATGGAAATAAAATAATATATTTAGTCGTGTCTTCATATCTTAGAGGAGATTGAATTTTAATTTTTTGATTAAAGAGTATAAATATCGAACTATTTAATTTAATAGTTGACTTTTGATGAAAAAAATTATCATTTAGTAAAAATGCCACAACCTCATTTTTTTTTTCTTCTATGAGCACCGTTCATGATATAAGAGGTTTGGGTTTTGAATCCGACCTCTTTCAGATTGTGGTCCAAAATTTGTCAATCTTATTCGATTAAGTGAAGCTTGAAACACCTCATTTGTGGAAACCATTATAGATAAATCTTATGTGGCACTGAATTACTTCACGTTTTCAAAAAATAATTTAAGTATTTAAACATATGAGATGAAGTTTAATGAGGTAAACTATATTTTATATTTATACTTTTTTACACTATAGTTATTTTGAAAAATAAAAAAAGGAAAATATGTTGTGCACATATTTTTATTTTATTATCGTAAACTAAGTCGTATAAACTTAATTTTTTCTCTACAAAAAAGAAAATTATAAATTAAACCTATCATACATTTAATTAACAAATTTCATTGTAATAAATTTTAACTTTTTGATGATTTTTTTAATTAGAGAGAGAAATGTTACAAACGTATTATTTTGAATTAGTTAAAATTTATGGAAAAACATTAAAAATGTATTAAGAAAAGTTTATTATTAACACTCCCTTATCAAAGAATATTTTATATATATATATATATATATATATGTGTGTGAATATTCGATAATACCACATATTTAAAGTAAGTAGAACTATTATAAACAACAAATTTATACTATAGTAATTCACTTTAAAAAAAAAAACAAATAAAAAATCTCAATGATTAATAAAAATTAAAACAGTAATAAATTTATACCTTTTTTATCAATGGTTTATTTTTATATTAATTATTATTGTTTCTTATTTTCTGTTTAAATCAACCACTAATATTATATATACATCACAATATGTAACAACAAAAACATATACTCACTAAGACATGAAAATATTAAAATCTAACTGAAACATAAGTATTCATTCATTTACTCCATCCTTGCATCGGTTGTGATCAAACCAATCAAACATAAAAAAATAAAAAGAAAAAAATATGAAAATATAACAATTAACACGGAATATTGAAGATTGGGCATGGAAGACCTCTCATTTGGCAGAAACGTAGTCAAAGCTTATCTAAGAAGTTGGAAAAGGATCTATAACATGTCTGGTTCTCGAAAATTCTGGAAAGCTAAATAAATAATAATACTAGAATCTCAATTCTTAAGACCCCCCACATGATCATGTCGTGCTTTCCAGAACCATCTATCCCCCCTTCTATATATATTTCACAAAATCCTTTTCCACATAACATTCAAATTAAAAACTCAATTTCTTGTGTTTGTGGTGACACGACACTAGACAAATGGCACACGCTTTATCCTCCAATGTGGCTCTTAACGTTCCCACATTGAGGTACCTTGGTCCAAAGCAGTTGAAACCCGTGAGGGTGATGATGGGAGATGCAAGAGAAAAAGTTGAGCATGTTCCAAGACACCACCACAACCACCATCCCCTCCCCAAAAAGAAACTTCCCCCTACCGCACCCATAGGTAATTATAATTCAACTCAATTATAGTTTATGATGCTGATCAAAAATTAATAAAATTTGATTATCTATCACTTAAAATAAGTCGAAATTATGATAATTAATCCTGAATTATGTAATCATGACATGATTTTAGATTGGTTTTGTTTATTTAGTTTTTTCTTCTTCTTCACATCCTTAGAGAACCCCTGCCCTTATTCTATACAAAAAGAGTTTATTGATTGAATTAACATGTTAAATTGTCCAAAAGCAGGGTTGTGGGACAAGTTTCCTACGGCTAGGACAGTGCAAGAGATGATGGAGACAATGGAAAGAATGATGGAGGACCCTTTTGCCTTGAGCACACTTGAGTGGCCTTCTTCTCCACTTCCAAGTGAGGGAGTTGGTGGGTACAAAAGAAGGGGAAGAGCACCATGGGAGATCAAAGAGGGAGAGAGTGAGTACAAGATGAGGTTTGACATGCCAGGGATGAACAAGGAGGATGTGAAGGTGTGGGTGGAGGAGAAGATGCTTGTGGTCAAGGCTGAGAAAGAACCAAAGAAGAAGCATGAGAATAATGGGATTGTGGAACATGAGGAGGAAGATTGGTCTGCTAAGAGTTATGGTAGGTATAGCAGTAGGATTGCTTTGCCTCATAATGTTCAGTTTGAGAATATTAAGGCTGAAGTTAAGGATGGTGTGCTCTATATAACTATACCTAAGGCTAGTAGCTACTCAAACATCTTGGATATTCAAGTTCAATGATTCATTTTGTTTGTGGTAATTGTTGTTTGTTGCAGAGAGCTTTTCTTTTGAGAAAAAAGATAGAAGAATGTGTAAATATGTTTTTTTTTTTTTTTAAAACTAAGTTTAGTGTTTGTTATACTTTTACATGTATTTCTCTCTTGAGTAGATGTATTGTTAGTACATAATTTTGTAAAAATGGTTAGAAATTATCGCTAATTCATAATATAAAAAATGTTATAAAAAAAAGTAAAAAAAATAAAATAAAATAATATAAGATGAAAATCTGATTGATCTCTTTTCTTTATAAGAAAACTAAATTATTTATGAAAAAGAACTAAACTATTTATAAATATATGTGTTAATTAAATAATTATATAAAAAAGAATCATACATAACAAAAATATAAATAATAATAATTAATAATGAATATTAATATTTACTAATTAAGTCACTAATTAATATTTATTAAAAAAAAATAATTATAAAAAGAAATGAATTCTTTAAGTAAATTACTGTCCTAAAAAATTAGTTTTAACTTTTGGTTAAGTAATATTTTGATTTATAAAAATGAATAAAAATCATAATCTTATAATTAGTCAAACAAATAAGAATATCTTCATTGAGAAGTGTTTATTATAATTTTATTTTATTTTATATAAGATTTATCATATCATCCACACAAAACTCACAATATATTTTTATAAATTTCGTCTCAATAATTAAATTTTATAAGTAACACATATTTTTATAATTTTTTTTATTTACATTTCACTTTTTAAAAAGTTAAAAATTAATGTAACTAATTTTAATTTAATATGATAAATGATTTTTTTATTTATAGAAATAATTTGTATTCTAATTAATATTATTTATTTAAGAGTTCGTTTTTTTACTTTTAAACAATTTTTTTAAAATTATATTATTACATTCTAAACTTACTATCAAATCCAATCTGATTCACAGCTTTAACAAACTTCTAATGAAGATCTACAGACCAGACTACTCTAGCTTTCTTAGTGAAAGATGGATCCAAACATTCTTTGTCATAGTGTTTGTTATCTGCATCTTTTCTTTTCTTTGTTGAGGTCACATCTTCCACAGCAAACAAGTTCCCATCATCTGATTGCTCTGATCCATTTCTCATCAAGTGAATGTTCTCAAAACTCTCAAAACTTTCAAATTCTCTTGCCTCATGTATCCTTTTTCTAAAGACATGTTGCCATATGTTTCGCAGCTCTTTCATCCTAATAGGCTTAAGGAGATAATCACATGCTCCATGTTGAACGCCTTTCATGACCCTGCTTGTTTCTCCATCAACAGACATCACTGAACAGCATTGTAAAGTGCAATTTGTCAGAGTATGGAGTTTCAATCAATGTGATCAAAGGACTACAATGATATCATATAACGAAAATCTGGAATATATTATTGATAGAGAACTGACTAATGAAAGGAAGATCCATCTCAAGCCCAACAAGCTCAAGAAGTTTAAAACCATCCATGTCAGGCATGTTTACGTCGCTGATCACTATATCATATCCATCTTTCCTTTCACGAAGCAAGTTTAGAGCATGCCTTGCTAAACAACATGTAGTCACTGAAGCAAATGAAAGAAGAGTCAGAATGACCTTAAGAAATCAACTATCATAACAGAGAATAAATAAAGGATGTAATATGTATTTTGCTCTCCGAAATTTGCTAATTCTTTGAAATCTCACTTAAATGAATGACAGAAGAAAAAGAAAAGGCAATCGGTGACAAGAATTGGAAACTAGTTGTGAGACATAAAATAAAAAGCTTTAAATGTCTTCAGTTTCAGATATCTCTCAAATTACCGAAGTTTATGATCGATGTTGCATGATGTAAAGATCACATAACCTGTGAGACATAAGCTCTTGCTACTACGTAAGCCATTAAGACTAACGCTCAGAGATGTGTTCATATATTATCTGTTCTTGTTGCTACCATAATATCACTATTTCGATTGTGTTTCAATGGATATTTTTATCTGTCTCATATGTAAGCAATAAATTCCCTAGCCTCCATTTATGACAATAAAGTTTTTACAATCTACTAGGGACAAATGCCCAATCTAAGTGAGTTTGTAGTAATGCACCAATATCCCACATTTAAGTGTTGGTGATACTTATTCTAAAACTTACTTTACTGTTAGTTGAAAGTTATCGGAAATCACAAGTTTTTGTGGGAAGAGACTCATTAAATGTGATGTAGGACCCATTAAAATTTGTGATTTCTAATAATAATCCCAAAAGTAAAGAAAATATTAGTAAGAGGGTATCGATGGCGGCTGGCCTTGACTCACAAAAACATGTGCAGTTTCATTTATTCAGATTAATTCAGTTCCTGATATATTTTTTTAAGAACGAATCTGAACATGCCGTGGTTAGTGGCTAGTGGCTAGTGCACCAACTAGCCTCTCATTAAATTTTTAGTGCATGGTATCAATGGATGAGAGAGTGGATTACCAACATGGCATATTAGTTCCTAAGATACCATGAATAAACAATGCCAAAAGACAATAAACATAGATTAGGAAGAATCGAATTCGACACAGAACTTCTTTATGCCCCTCTCTAGATTTTTTTTAATATCAACATGGCAACATAGACCATACAACCAGAGCTAAAAATTTGATTTTAACCTGCCCCATCTAATAATAACTTCGCAATCTGAACTTCTCTGCAATTCAAGCTTTTGCTTCTAGAAAAAATGAAAAGGATCTTCCTTTAAATAGATGAGAGATCAATCTATCAAGTAAAAGCCAAAATTAACAATTTTTTATATATAAAAATAATAGCCAAAAATCCAAAAAAAAAAATTAAATCTGCAATTAACAATAGCCAACTGTTTAAATGTCATCAGTTTACATGCTTATTAGAAGGAAATTTGTTTCTTTTTTTTGTCATAAAAAAAGATGCACATTCCTTAGAAACTGATCCATGACACCACATACTAAACTTCAAAAAACTAAACCAAAACTTCGAAACATGATCTCTTGGACAGAAGAGTAACAGTGTACAAGAACCTTTTATATCAATTTTGTAGATCTCCAATACATCAAACTAATATCACTAACTTGTAACTTATCACACAAAAAAATAGCACTGTGGAAGAAAAATGAACCACTCATGACATAAACAAACCAACCTTCATAATTGCACTTCTTGAGCATCTTCTCAAGGATCTTGAGCCACGTTGGATCATCATCCACAACAAGAACTCTCAAGCCAGCAGGAAAATCACGTCGAGGGGAAGAGAAGCAACCATTATCCATTTTTGTGAGAGACAAAGAAAAGTGTCACTGCTTCTATTGGTGCTGTGTTGTGAGTTAAAAAAAAAAGGCTTGGTTTGTTTGTGGGCTTATAATAAGTTAACTGTCCCTGTGGCGTACGTTAGTATATCCCTTTGGGTTGGTTTGGTCCTACCTACAAACAACTTCAGTGCTACTTGTTAAAGAAAACATTAGTATTATAGTATCATAGGAAGGAACTAGGAACAGTGATACAGTTTTTTAAGATTAATGCTGAAAGATGAGGGACACGTTGGGTGGCTTTAACATATTTGGATTAAGAAAGAGAAAAATGAGAGTGAAAAAGTGAACTAAGTGGGAAGATTGTTGAGGCATCTCATGGAAAGTGAGGCTTAAAGCTTCACCTCAGGTTTTGTAATGTACTATACTGATAAACCTAGGGAAAAACAAACAGTGTTTCTACTTTCTACTGTACTTCTGGAACCTTGTGTTGTGTGGTGTTGTGGTGTGGTGCAGGTGCATTTCTAAAGGCCACTATACCCAGGTGTCCAAATGGCACTTTATGTTATTGTTAGAGGAATTTTACATGAACAGGATTTTCTTATGATAATAACAACACAAATGATGTACCAATATTCTTTGAATAATATTTTTATAACATTATTTTTTATTTATAATTCAACCTTATAAAAATAGTTCATAAATAATAATTGTTTTCACTGAATATTTTTTTTTAGACATACCTATTAGAAGTAAATAATAATTATATAAAAAATAAATAATAATAATTAATAGTAAATATTGATATTCATTAATTAAGTCATTATTTATTATTTATAAAAAAAATAATTATAAAAAATGAATTTTTTAAGTAAATTACTATCTTAAAAAATTAGTTTTAACTTTTAGTTAAGTAATATTTTGATTTATAAAAATGAATAAAAATCATAATCTTATAATTAGTCAAACAAATAAGAACATCTTCAATGAAAAGTGTTTATTATAATTTTATTTTATTTTATATAAGATTTATCATATCAGTCACACATAACTCACAATATATTTTTATAAATTTTGTTCCAATAATTAAATTTTATAAGTAACACATATTTTTATAATTTTTTTATTTACATTTCACTTTTTAAAAAGTTAAAAATTAATGTAATTAATTTTAATTTAATATTTTTTTGGTACAACGGGAAATTAAAGAAAGAAAGTAAAGGAAAGAAATAAAATAAAAAACAAATTATGGAACCCCAAGACATGCAGATTACGTGATGGACAAATTATCTAACATCAGAAGATCAAGTACGTTATTTGGTGGTATATCCCAGTTCTCATCCCAGTCAGTTTTTGTTGTGTTTCAACTTGCAAGTCTATCTGCGACCTTATTGGCATCTCTGTTTATGTGAACTATGGTGGTGAACCAGCTTTTCCTCAAGAGAATACGAATATCCTCAATGGTTCCACAATGTTTATGACGGTGACTATGGTCCTCCTTCTCTAAGGGGAGCACTTTAGTAACTTCCAAGCAGTCTGATTCACAAATAATATGCTTCCAACCCTTTTCCCAACATCTAGAAAGACCAGTCTTGATAGCAAGCAGCTCGGCTAGAATGTGGTCGCCCTTCCCAGCTGTTTTGGAAAACCCATAAAGCCATCTTCCAGCGCAGTCCCGAACCACCCCACCAATACTCATCCTACCATTAGATACATTAAAGCTGCCATCCACGTTCAGTTTCAAAAACTGATTCTTAGGAGGGGTCCAGGGAGAGTGATTAAACTCATGTTGCAGCATTTTATTCAAGTAAGGGAGCTCCGCAAGTGAATTATAAATGCCACGAATAACATTATTGATGTTCCATTCATCCTTTCCAGCAGCAAATATGCTGTTATTTCTCCACTTCCAAGCCCACCAGAGAACCGTGATAGTTTTAGGTGAGTCTTTAGAATTTATGACATTTTTGAACCAGCTAATAATATTATCGGGTGATAGAAGAGGTCCACTACTGATAAATTATTTTTTTATTTATAGAAATAATTTGTATTCTAACTAATATTATTTATTTAAGAGTTCTTTTTTTTTTTTTACTTTTAAACAATTTTTTTAAAATTATATTATTACATTTTAATGAGAATTACTAATAAAAATTGTATTAAATAACCATTAATACTATTCATTGGAAACGCTGCCAAGGTTGAGTGTACAACCTAAATATTGTTACTATATGTTGTGTTACTCAAACTTGAGTTATTGCATTAATTTGTGTCTTTGATTGGTTTTATTAAATGATAAATTTATTTTATACAATTAACTTTAATACATTTTAATGGTAGGATTGTGAACTGCACATACTGCAGATTTGAAATTAAATTTCCGTTGTGACAGTACCAAACTATTTTGTTGACTTTTTTTTTAAAATCAACAAGGTCCCTATAAGCAACTAAAATTTGAAAATCTTGAGTTATCTGCAACCCTTATTTAGCTGACTTATCAGTCACTTATTAGTTTTTCAAGTAACTCATCTCTCTTTAAAAGATGGAGAAAATATTGAAAAGTTAATCAAGCAGTGTAGAGTTATTTTACATTAGTAATTAATTATATCTTTTAATTGTGTCATGTTACCGTTAAAAGTAAATATGTTTATAATGATATGACACAATTAAAAAATATAATTAATTGAAATGTAAAATCTTTTTACACTAACCGTGTATAAGTAATTAACTCAATATTAAAACTATCTTTTTAGTTTTCAGTCCAATAATGTATTAAATGTTTTATTATTTTTTGATAAATTTTAGCAAATTATAGTGTGTTATAATAGAGAATGTAGTATTAATATTTCTCCAAAAATATAGATAGTCTTTAAAGATGCATATTAATTTCCGAACTATGTTTCAAAACTTATAAAAATAGTTATTTGTAGAGAAATGTTCACATATTTCTAATGTGAAACAATTTTGACGATCGTTTCTCAGAAGAAAGTGATTAAAAGTAATTTATATAAATCTGTCAAAAAATAATATATAAAATATTTTTGCCAAAATCATAATAAAATTATATTAATAGCAAAATATTATAATTTGTAACTTTTTTTTGTTACCATAGTTTTTAAAACAATGGTTAATCATTATTAAAAAGTATGAATCAACGGGCACGTTGTTGGGCTGGCGTAGATCGAACAATAATAATTGCGGATATGGCCGTTGGACATTATTATTTATTTATACTTCGTTTAGATTTGGCATAAAAATTATTGGTTAATTAGACATTATAACATTTTTTTAGGATGCTAAATTATCGGTTGAACTGGGAATAAAGTATTTGTTTGTTCAGTGAGTATACAATAAATAAATAATATATATATATATATATTAATAATATTTTTTTTCTTAGTTGTCCAATCTCATATTACTGTACATTAGATTCGTTAATTTTAAAATGATTATTTAGTTTAAATATTCATTATCTACTTCATCTTTTGATTTTTATGATTAAAAATATTTCATTTTAATTTCTGATAAACTATTTTATTTTTTTAAGTCCTTAGTGTTTAGTTGTCATATGTGTTTATTTACGGCATTTATAATAGATGTTAAAATAAAAATTATGAAATTTTAAAAAATTAAAGAAGATAAAATTGTATGTGTAAAAATTAAAATGAAATATTTTTAATTATAAAAATTAATGATAAATTAAAAAAAAACTATAATAACCAAAAAGTCATTTAACTCTAATTACTTTAAAAATCTTACTAACAATTGATTATATATATATATATATATATATATATATAATTTAGTCAAAACTATTATACTCATAAATGTAAGAATAAATTCTTTTTAATGAGGTGTAATTCTTTGTCACATAATCAATTTCCTGATATCTCTAATTGTGATTTTATACTTAAAACTTTGACTCAAAATTAAGTCGCTCATGTGTTGAACCATTTAGCAATCGATTTTTTCAATTTAATTTATTATTGATTATAAAATTTTATGAGATTTAGTTTTACATTTTATAAAATATTAAATGAATCTCACTCATCCTTTTATAGTTTTTAATAAATTTTAATTAATAAATATGTATTAAAAAGAAATAAGTTGTTGATATTTCACTTTAAAATATTTTTTAAATGCATAATTAATCACTCAATTTTTAACAAATAATGTTGTAAAAAATAATCTTCCTACAATAATAATCTATGTTTTTTTTAATTAAATTGTTTAAAATTTATATTATAACTCTAAGTATAAATTATATTATGTTAAATGATCACTAATGACATGATTATGATTTTTAAGATAATTATTATAAGAGTCAATAAATCTAAAATATAGATAATATATAATATAATTAGATGATAGTATAAATTTATTTAAAAAAATTAATAAATAACCAATTTTATTATTTAAAAACGGAACATTTTCCATCAAAAAAAGAATATTTATGCAAAAGGAAAAAAAACTTCCAACGGCCAAAATTGAAAAAAATAAATAAAAGAAAAACTAGACGTTAGTGGAATGAGGATTACCATTACCACAAATAATTGAATACTGTGGGCCAAATCCGCAGTGGGACCCACCCTAAAATAAAACTAAAAAAAAAAAAGAAAGTCCTTTGTTATGGCGGTGACACGAAGATTCATATTAGGACAGGAATCATAAGTATCTATGTCGTGTCCGGTCGAAGGAGCGTAGCGAGTTAGAGTGTTAGTATAAATGCCAAAGTTAAAAACCTGAAGCGTTACTCAAAGATAAAAAAAAAAACCTAAGCGCTTCCAGTTTTCTCCACATGCAATTAAGATTTCGCGTATTATTGCACCGTTTAATTTCTGAACGTGAATGCGGTTATAGAGAAAAATAAACGGCAAAGAGTTTGTAGTCATTGGTTCAGTGAGGGTTTTGTTTTGCGTTATGGCTGAGTCATCGGCGTGTCTCGTACGGTCCTTTTCCACTCCCGCGGACACTTGTTACGAGGTGAGATTTGTTCTCGTAATCTCAACTTTCGAATGTTTCTGTTGTGTGTTCGGTTTTTTTGTTGCAGAGAAATGGTGATGTGCTGTGTTTGGTTTTCGTTGGAGTGTCTGTAACCGTCTTTTGTTTCGATTTTGGATTTCAGTATTATCGCGTTTTCTGCTGCAACTTAACTTCTGTTAAAGCGTTAATGCAATTGCCATATATATATATGTGTTTATGTGTTTATAGTGAACTGAACATTTTCAAAATCTAACGTTGTTATCGATTCATGGCTTCCTTTGCCAAAGTTCTTAAAATTTCCATAGTTCAGACTCACGTTGTTTTTGTCGAGGATAGGAGTCAAGCATGGGTTTCAATGTCACTGGTAAATTCACGGATTTATGCATGTGGAATTATGGATAGTTTAATTTGAAAATTTATGTCAATGTTATTACGATTTTGCAATTCATCGTTGAGTCTGTGGTGACTTGTCATTGTCAATTGTCAATTGTCAAGCGTTATGGTGTTTATTGTATTGTTTTGATGATTTTAGGGTAATCCTATTCGTGCGCTTGGAGAATCTATCTCGTTTGGGAGGTTTATGTCAGAAGAACTGGATTGGGAGAAATGGTCAACATTCACGCACAATCGCTATGTTGAAGAAGCCGAAAAATATTCGAAGCCGGGTTCTGTTGCGGCGAAGAAAGCCTATTTTGAGGCTCGTTACAAAAGAAAAGCTGCGGAGAGAGCAGCTGCATGGGTCCAAGAAGCAAATGCTCTGGCTAATGGAACTACTGAGTCATCCATTGACACGAGTTGTATAGTGGAAAATGAAGAGCATGATAAAGAAATTGTTGATTACCATGTTGTCGAATGTGTTGTTGATAGAGACCAACAAAAATGTGATGCCGGACAGAGTGATTTATGCGTTTCCAATACCAATGACGTGGTTGCGAATGAAGAACAGGATAAGGAAACTGTTAATTACCGTGTTGTTGAATGTGTAGTTAATAAAGACCAACATGAATGTGATGCTGGACAAAGTGATTTAGGCATTTTGAATGTGGAAGAAGCAGAGGATTCGCGGCATCCTCGCATTGATATATATCTTAATGTGGAAAGTTGCACACTTGATGATGATTCTAATTCTAGCCAGTTTCATCATGTTGAAGATAAAAAGAATATTGTTGTCCCTGTGGAAGTTTTGGCTTTGTCTGTCAAGGGAAGAGAAGCAAATTCTTCTCCAGAATTATCAACCGAAACTGTGTCTCAAGAAAATTCTCCTTCTCTTGATGAAAGGAAGGATGCTGCAGCTGTGCCAACCCCCCAAAGTGGAATAAACAATGGTTCTAAAGGCAAGAAGTCTGTTAGTGGAGACTCAGTTGAGAAGAAGAATTTAACTGCACGGTCGACACGTGAAACACGCAAAAGAGTGGCAGTGGCTTTACAGTCCAGAAATGGCTTAAACAATTTTTCAACAAGTAAGAAGTCTGTTGGAGGCTTGAATGAGAAGAAAAAAATAACTGCACCATCATCTGGTACTGGTATAACAAGCAAAACTGTTACTGCAGCTACTAAACCCTCTGCAAAAAGTATGAAGTCTGTTGGACACTCAGTGGAGAAGAGACCAACTACAAGGTCACTCCACATGTCAATCAGTCTGCCTTCTGGTGCAGGTGAAACAAGTAAAACAGCTTCAATGTTGGAACAGAACAGAGTAAAAAGACTTCATTCTAATTTTCCCAAAACTAAGGTATTGTTAACTTATCCTCTTTTTATTTGTTGCTACATTTACATCAGTGGTTTTCCTGAGGAGATACAATTGAAATGGTACTCTTGCTTGTAATTTGTGCTGGTTGCTAAAGATTTTAACCTTTTTTTTTCAGGCTTCTCATGGTTTGCTAAATCAAGATCCAGTAAATCACCCTTCTCAAAGACCGCTTAATAAGTCTGTATCTGGAGGTGTTACAGCAAATGCAAAGCCTTCCTCATCCTCAAACACCATAAAAAACATTCCCCAATCAGCTACCGTATCTTCACCTTTTAGATTCAGAAGTGAAGAAAGAGCAGTTAAACGCAAAGAGGTAAGTTCTTTTCCTTGCCCCATACATTAGCTGTGCAATTTATGGCAGGACTAAATGTCTCACGGGCTTTCCCATTTTTTTGTATTTAAGTTCTTGCAGAGAATGGATGAAACTAAATCCAAGGACGAAGAGAAAGTTAAATTGCAAAGGACTCTCAAGGTAAATAATTAATGATGATGATTCTGCTGGTACATAGCATAATTTACCTTGTTTCTACACAAAATTATTGGTGGCTCATAGAGCCAGTAACTGATAGAAAAATGTCATAAAACTGGAAGCACTGAATTTGATCTTATGTATAAGCAGTAATTCTTAAATGTATGTTCCATTTTCTGTTGTGCTGATGGCCATGAGTGGCACTACAATTTAGGAATCTTGGTCAAGATTCAAAACATGGCTTCATAATTTATTTTCAACTTCTCTTTATTGCTTAATAAAAAGGTGATTCAATGTCTTTAATTTGATGCTTATGCAGGGTAAAACAGAGCATGATCACAAGAAGTTGCGGCAGAGCAGCGGCTCTATATCCAAACTAAATGAGGACAAGCAAAGTGGATCACACTCACCAAGTAATCAGATTAGAAAGGTATTTGCTTAATACATTTAATATTGAAAATAACACCCATGACTATAAGTTTGTTTGCATACAAACTTAGAACTTCCGGAAAACACTTAACTTTTATCCAAACTTGCTCTAAATTCTATATTGTTGATCCATCTGTATGATTCTGTGATGGCTTAGCCCTATTTCCTTGTTTGTGCTTTTTTATTTATATTCTAAAAGATGTTGCTTGTCAATCACTTCTTTTTATTTTGCTAAGCTTTATGACCAATGACCTGAGATCCCACATAATCTGTCAACCATTAATCTCTGTCGGTTTATTCTACCTGGAGATGCTTTTAACTTGTGATTTATATTATGTACTTGCATTTTCTTCGATTCTAAGAGGTGTTCTTCTATTTTGACCTTCAATATTATTTGTTTATTCTTTTCCAGAGTTCACTTGCACTGCCCCGGTCACCAAAACTTGGGAAGAAAGCAAGTTCTAGCATAGTCCAAGGCAAAAGCTTAGGAAATTCATGGAAGCCTCCTATCAGAACCAACAATTCCAAACGTACTACAGAAAAAATTAACCGAACAACAAGGCAATCAGTAACTTCAATATCAAATACCACCAGAGAAAATGCTTCACCAAATATTCAGCTTTAAAAACAAGAAAAAAGGAGTACCTGATCCTGTGATTTGAAGACAAACTTGTGAAAAAGATTGAAACCACTTGGAAAGATAATACTTTGCTTATAGTTTAATTTTAGGAGGACGATTAGGAGAGTTTATGTCCCCGATTTGTTTTCACAATTCGAAGGAAAATTTTGTAGTCTTTTTTTTTATAGTTATATCCAGGCTTCAAAAAAATTGACCTAGGACCATATCATTGTTAAAAAGTAAGTTTGTAATTAGAAAAATAGGTTTAGGCTATATACTTTGGACGAAAAGGTAAATACCAAATAGGACTTGTATCACCTTTAGTCATCATTTTGCATGAATAGACTTTAACTTTGTGATTCGCCACTTTGTTACGAGCCATTCAAATATTAAGCGTTGAGGACTTTTCAGTGAGCGTGTCTGAAGAATTTTACCGTACATAAAAGAGTGCGGTTCATGGATGTGCGGTGTTCCCTTTTTCTCTTTGTTGTCCACATAGACCAAAAGGTACTTCCTACCTAAAAGGAAAGAGGTCTTCATTCTTATAAACTTCAGAAAATAATGGTTCAAACGTAGAACATTTAGTACACATACTGTTGAGAAATCTCTTTAAGCTTCTCTGTTTTATCATTTTCTGCTCATTGCTTGGTATTAAAACTACTTTACCAATCAATCACTTTAAAGTTAGTTCCCGTGATCTATGCGCTCGGTTTCTAATTTTCAGCCTAGTACTAGCATATGATTATCATATGAAAAGTACATCATTAAATATACGAAAGTTCCCAAGAACAACACTTTCTAAGTATTTGGCTGTAGGCAATCTGTTTTTACACATTTTTTATGTCTGCTTCGCACATTTTATAAGAATAACGTCAACATCTTGTTTAGACATTCTTTTCATTACATTATTGGTTTATTATTTGAGTCTATTTTATTGTGTAAAACTCAATGAAATTCGCTCAGTAATAATATGTTCAAAGACATTTGTCAAATAATGCGTGTTAGCAGTTTTATCTTTTTACTTTAAGCAAGAATAAAATAAGAGGGAAGCTGGCTTATTAATTAAGCTTAATATTTGTTGTCATCACCCATTTTTATACATACTGCAATATCAAATCCTCTATGATTGGAAAAAGAATACCCCAACCCTTAAGGTTGAAATAATACAGGTGAAGTTAGCTACAAGAAATACTAAATTTGTCCTTTCATGCGTGAGTTTTGATTCTGGTTGAAGATGCAGGAAAGGCAAGGTAGATCATGCTATGAATAGACCTTGATCTATAACTGAGTAATCAGCTGAATCATATAAGTGGGTTGGAGCTTCTGTAATAAGTCCAGGATTCTAATATTCAGACATTCCTATATTCTGCAGACCGAAGTTCATATTATAGCTTTCACCTTGTAACCAATAGAAATGCAAGTCCTCGTCCAAAAGTAGGTTTCTTTGGTAAATTTCCAGATCAGAAGTGCTACTGAGATTATTATATCCCTGTGTTTTCAAGCCAGAATTTGTAGTGGAAATGGGTTCTGAAGATTGATCATTCATCACTAGGCTTCCAGGTTGAATAGGAAAGGTGTCAACTACTGCATTCCCTATTGAACACACAGACGTGGCATAATCATTCTTGTAATCTGCAAATAAAGGTTTTGGTTCTATACAAGCAGCAACCTCTTCATCTGTTATGGAGGGAGTGGAACTAATTGAAGCAATTGATTGTGATTGATCAACTTGGATATGATGCTGCTTACCCTGTAATGGCAACTGGCTGAAGTTATCCCCTAAATTAACAAGTGACTTGTGATCTTCTTTGAGTTGCAGGTGTGGAACTTCAGTCCAAGAGTACTGTGTTGGCATGGAGCAATCAAACACTGAACGGTTTCCTTCTGACTCCAGAGGGACAAAAGGTTGATTTAGGCTAACCCTGAAACCCTCTCTCATATTTGTGTCAGCAATGTTACCGGTCAAAGCCCTTCCTTTTTCTGCTATGGTGGACTGTGGAATAATTCCCTTGGGTTCACCTTCACGACTTTTGGTTTCCACATTCTTCGGTTGCAATGATCCATCTGAAAAATTGTAGCTGTCAACTGGAACATCATTTTGTTGCTTGTTTACTGAGTTCTGAAAACCAAAACTTGCCAGATCTTTTGAAGGAAAATCTGAATGCTTCATTCCACTTGAGGAAGACCTTTGATCATTTTCTTTCTGAATCCTACTCAAATAAAGCCTGTATTTCTGCATAACAAAAAACTTGTTATCAGGACCCTGAGTTTCAAACTTCAAACTAATGGAACATTGCAAAAACATACATTTTTCCTATCCTATTGTCTTGCAGTTTCCTTTATTGAATTTATGAAAGGATCTGCATCTAAGTTGTAATATTTCTGATGAACATTATGCTTTGTTGTGATTCAAAATCTACCAAAATGAGCATATACATGAGATATGATCATGCACACAAAAAGAGATAATAAAAAATCTAGATGCTCATCTGAATGAAATATAGTATACATGTTTCTTTCTCAATAGTCTAAGGATAACATTCAAGGTCTGAAATTATAGCATCACCTGCAAGTGGCTAGCGACATTCTCTCGGGTCAGCCATGGCACATTCATCAAATCTAGTATTTTCTTGGGCCCAACTTCTGCCAAACAGAAATTATTTGTTACAAATATTATTGTGCATGAAAGATATAAGATGACTAAATGCACAAAATATTATGCCTAGCAGTCATACTTAAATTCACTGGGGAAGAAATGTTAGGTTAAGCACAAGATTTATAGAAGACACAATGATGATTGCTAATAACACTTTTTAGAGAACCTTGAGTAGAAACTTACTATCAAATCCAATCTGATTCACAGCTTTAACAAACTTCTGATGAAGATCTACAGACCAGACTACTCTAGCTTTCTTGGTGGAAGATGGATCCAAACATTCTTTGTCATAGTGTTTGTTATCTGCATCTTTTCTTTTCTTTGTTGAGGTCACATCTTCCACAGCAAACAAGTTCCCATCATCTGATTGCTCTGATCCATTTCTCATCAAGTGAATGTTCTCAAAACTCTCAAAACTTTCAAATTCTCTTGCCTCATGTATCCTTTTTCTAAAGACATGTTGCCATATGTTTCGCAGCTCTTTCATCCTAATAGGCTTAAGGAGATAATCACATGCTCCATGTTGAACGCCTTTCATGACCCTGCTTGTTTCTCCATCAACAGACATCACTGAACAGCATTGTAAAGTGCAATTTGTCAGAGCGTGGAGTTTCAATCAATGTGATCAAAGGACTTCAATGATATATAACGAAAATCCGGAATATATTATTGATAGAGAACTAACTAATGACAGGAAGATCCATCTCAAGCCCAACAAGCTCAAGAAGTTTAAAACCATCCATGTCAGGCATGTTTACGTCGCTGATCACTATATCATATCCATCTTTCCTTTCACGAAGCAAGTTTAGAGCATGCCTTGCTAAACAACATGTAGTCACTGAAGCAAATGAAAGAAGAGTCAGAATGACCTTAAGAAATCAACTATCATAACAGAGAATAAATAAAGGATGTAATATGTATTTTGCTCTCCGAAATTTGCTAATTCTTTGAAATCTCACTTAAATGAATGACATAAGAAAAAGAAAAGGCAATCGGTGACAAGAATTGGAAACTAGTTGTGAGACATAAAATAAAAAGCTTTAAATGTCTTCAGTTTCAGATATCTCTCAAATTACCGAAGTTTATGATCGATGTTGCATGATGTAAAGATCACATAACCTGTGAGACATAAGCTCTTGCTACTACGTAAGCCATTAAGACTAACGCTCAGAGATGTGTTCATATATTATCTGTTCTTGTTGCTACCATAATATCACTATTTCGATTGTGTTTCAATGGATATTTTTATCTGTCTCATATGTAAGCAATAAATTCCCTAGCCTCCATTTATGACAATAAAGTTTTTACAATCTACTAGGGACAAATGCCCAATCTAAGTGAGTTTGTAGTAATGCACCAATATCCCACATTTAAGTGTTGGTGATACTTATTCTAAAACTTACTTTACTGTTAGTTGAAAGTTATCGGAAATCACAAGTTTTTGTGGGAAGAGACTCATTAAATGTGATGTAGGACCCATTAAAATTTGTGATTTCTAATAATAATCCCAAAAGTAAAGAAAATATTAGTAAGAGGGTATCGATGGCGGCTGGCCTTGACTCACAAAAACATGTGCAGTTTCATTTATTCAGATTAATTCAGTTCCTGATATATTTTTTTAAGAACGAATCTGAACATGCCGTGGTTAGTGGCTAGTGGCTAGTGCACCAACTAGCCTCTCATTAAATTTTTAGTGCATGGTATCAATGGATGAGAGAGTGGATTACCAACATGGCATATTAGTTCCTAAGATACCATGAATAAACAATGCCAAAAGACAATAAACATAGATTAGGAAGAATCGAATTCGACAACAGAACTTCTTTATGCCCCTCTCTAGATTTTTTTTAATATCAACATGGCAACATAGACCATACAACCAGAGCTAAAAATTTGATTTTAACCTGCCCCATCTAATAATAACTTCGCAATCTGAACTTCTCTGCAATTCAAGCTTTTGCTTCTAGAAAAAATGAAAAGGATCTTCCTTTAAATAGATGAGAGATCAATCTATCAAGTAAAAGCCAAAATTAACAATTTTTTATATATAAAAATAATAGCCAAAAATCCAAAAAAAAAAAAAAAATCTGCAATTAACAATAGCCAACTGTTTAAATGTCATCAGTTTACATGCTTATTAGAAGGAAATTTGTTTCTTTTTTTTGTCATAAAAAAAGATGCACATTCCTTAGAAACTGATCCATGACACCACATACTAAACTTCAAAAAACTAAACCAAAACTTCGAAACATGATCTCTTGGACAGAAGAGTAACAGTGTACAAGAACCTTTTATATCAATTTTGTAGATCTCCAATACATTAAACTAATACCACTAACTTGTAACTTATCACACAAAAAAATAGCAGTGTGGAAGAAAAATGAACCACTCATGACATAAACAAACCAACCTTCATAATTGCACTTCTTGAGCATCTTCTCAAGGATCTTGAGCCACGTTGGATCATCATCCACAACAAGAACTCTCAAGCCAGCAGGAAAATCACGTCGAGGGGAAGAGAAGCAACCATTATCCATTTTTGTGAGAGACAAAGAAAAGGGTCACTGCTTCTATTGGTGCTGTGTTGTGTTGTGTTGTGAGTTCAAAAAAAAGGCTTGGTTTGTTTGTGGGGTTATAATAAGTTAAGTAGTGTTAAAAATATCAAAAGAAGACACAAATGCGTAGAGAGAGAGAATATTGGCGCCGCACAGGTAACGGTCCCTGTGGCGTACGTTAGTGTATATCCCTTTGGGTTGGTTTGGTCCTACCTACAAACAACTTCAGTGCTACTTGTTAAAGAAAACATTAGTATTATAGTATCATAGGAAGGAACTAGGAACAGTGATACAGTTTTTTAAGATTAATGCTGAAAGATGAGGGACACGTTGGGTGGCTTTAACATATTTGGATTAAGAAAGAGAAAAATGAGAGTGAAAAAGTGAACTGAGTGGGAAGATTGTTGAGGCATCCCATGGAAAGTGAGGCTTAAAGCTTCACCTCAGGTTTTGTAATGTACTATACTGATAAACCTAGGGAAAAACAAACAGTGTTTCTACTTTCTACTGTACTTCTGGAAGCTGGTGTTGTGGTGTGGTGCAGGTGCATTTCTAAAGGCCACTATACCCAGGTATCCAAGTGGCACTTTATGTTATTGTTAAAGGAATTTTACATGAACAGGATTTTCTTATGATAATAACAACACAAATGATGTACCAATATTCTTTGAATAATATTTTTATAACATTATTTTTTATTTATAATTTAACCTTACAAAAATAGTTCATAAATAAAAATTATTTTCACTGAAATATTTTATTTTACACATACCTATTAGAAGTGAGATCTCTAATAAATATAAACCTATTTCAATAGAATCAATTTTTTTATTAGTAGAAAATTAAACTTAAATCTTCATGTATCTGATTTAGTATTACACTATTGGATCGATTATAATGGTTTAGGGTTCATATTATTAAAGTAAAGTTTTAGATTTTAGTTTTATAAGTGAAAAAAGTATAATTGAGAGGAACGATTTTAATAAAAGTGGTAAAATAAATTAATTGTTTTTTTTTTGCAAATATTAGTTATTAGTAAAGTTAGTGATATTTCATATTTGTAATATGGTAAAAAAGAATAGCATAGGGGTGTTGTGATAAAAATAAATAAAAGAATGAACTATAAAATTTGTTATAAAATTTATGTATTAATAATTTATTATGATGATGATGGTGTAGGAGGGAAATGAAAGATTTGCAGTTGCATAGCGTGGGGAGAAAACAGAGAATTAAAACCATCTTCTGTTTTGGAAAAATGCACGAGACAAGAATTTATGAAGAAAAAGTAAGGGGACAAAAAAAAAAATAAAGGGTACATCACCTCTGTTTTGTCAGCTAAGAATTCACTGAAGATGGCATCTTAATTAATTTATGAAAATGGAAACAAAAGGTGAGATGGAGAACGTGAAATTTCATTTCTTGAGTGACAAAGTTTTGGTGGAAAGGCACGTGGAATGCAATTGAGAGACATGATGGGAACGTTGTTGGAGGGAAGAGCAATTGTTTTGTGAGACATGGCCACTATCATTTGAACTTGGATCTCATCACAAATAAAACCAATTCTATTGGGTCAAGACTTCTTAGAAACACCACACACCTTTCATATTCAACTGGACTAAAAAAGTATTGGACTATTTTTTTTTCTTCTTCCTATGTATATGATATTGAGGGTTAATTCTTTTCTGTAGAGTGGATTTAGTAAAATAGTGTCTTTAATCATAATTTTATAATTAAGACAAAAATTAAACTTTAATTTTTAGTTAAGGAATATAAATGTTATATTAATTGAGTAGATAACTTTTGACATTAAATTAATAATCTACAAATTTGACAAGTGTGATTATTTTTTTATTATAAAGTATTTTTTCAATAAGTCACATTCAATTATCATATATGGCAAAAAGAAAATCTCAATATTTAACACATATATATATATATGATGGTGTCCTTGAGTCACTTGTCTCATTAAAAAAAATGGTTTTGGTCTAATGTAAACCAATTAAACCAATAAGAATGTGTTACATCATATATTAAACAAAAGATACTATATAACATATGTTAGTATATTATTAAAAAAAGTATAAGTTATAATAATGTACAAAATATTATTAAATTTTATTTAAAATCAATACTAAAATTGCATGTGAATATATGTTAGATGAGGAAAGATCTATTTATTTTATAAGTAAGTCTACTTACTTTATTTTGTTAAATAACTCATATTCTACATCAAATTTTAACAATCTAATCGTTGAATTTAAAGTTTTTATTGCATAGATCAAGTTTGTAAATTTTTTAAAAATTTGAAAATCATTTGATACTTCATTTCATTAATTCAAATCAATGTATAAAATAATTTTGTGATTATCCTTCAATTTGAATTAATAAAACGAAGTATCAAATAATTTTTATTTTTATTTTTAAATTTATAAACTTGATATATACATTAAGAATTTTAAATTCAACAGCTAGATCATTAAAATTTAATGTAAAACATGAATTATTGAACGAAATAAGTTTAGATAGATTTACTTTTAAAGCAAACGAAACACTCTTTTA